TGAGGGGCTCATCTTCCAGCGTCATATCTTTTAGCCTTTTGTTTCTGATCATGGGGCGTTCTTGGCAAAGATACTGGAGTGGCTTGCCATTTCCTACTCCAGGTGGATTGCGTTTAGTCGGAACTCTCCACTATGTCCTGTCCGTCTTGGGTGTCCCTGCACGGCATAGCCCATAGCTTCTCTGAGTTACTCAAGCCCCTTCGCCACGACAAGGCAGCAATCCATGAAGGAGAAGGCTTACATCACTAAAAGGCTTACATCACTAAAACAGTACTTAAAAGCTAAAACAATAAGGATACAAATATTTAAAAAGAATTAAGCAAGTACTATATTGGATAGAATTAAAAGTGGTAATGAATGCAAACTAGCACATTGGGAAAATGATATGATAATACCAAAGCTCCTAAAGGCTCAGGTAGTAGGAGCAGTTTAGCATCGGCTTTTATTCTGTCTGTCAATGCTTGCTGTTTTCCTACAGTTGCAAGGAATTTTAACCCCTATTACAGTGGTACCTTGGTTTCCGAATGCCTCAGTTAATGTAATTTTCTGTTTATGAATGAAAATCCATTGAAAATAATGCCTGTTTATGAATTTTTTCGCAATACAAAGCAAGTTTCCCAAGTTTGCCATGTTTTAAAAGTTGATGTGTGATGTTTTAAAAGTTGAATGTTTGAAATGTTATTGCTTGATTATGTCCCTATACAGTATTTATGCCTTTAAAATGCACTTTATAAAGAGTTTTGAACAGATAAGAGACTTTTTTTTTACTTTTTTCTGACCTCCAGAATGGATTAATTGGTTTTCAGTGCATTCTTATGGGAAACCACATTTCAGTTTACAAATTTTCACAGTACGAAATGTCCCAAAGAATGCATTAAATTCTTAAACCAAGGTACTACTGTATTGGAACATAGAATCCAGATGTGGTATATATTTTACTGAAATGGGACCTGTCGCAAAGTTTTACTGGACAGTCAGAGTGGCACACTAGCTTTAATTGCACAAATGCACTCCTGGCCACTGCTGAGACCTGGACTCCAGGCTCAGAGATCAATCTAGAAACACCAGCAAGCTGTGCACCTGTTTTTTTCAATAGGAGTGTAATCCCATCCAGTACCAGCTGCATCCCTATTCCTTGATCTGCTTTTTGACTTACCAGAAACACCTGTCTTGTCAGGATTAAGTTTCGATTTATTCAGGCTCATCCACTCCATTACTGATACCAAGCACTGATCTAGAGCTGAAACAGCTTCCTCAGATGTAGATGGCAAGGAGATAGAGTTGGGTGTCATCCGTATATTGGTGGCACCGAACCCCAAATCCTCGTTTTGCATGGAGGTGGGTGGGAATAGTAAACCTGTTCTCATAACCTTGGAAGCCCCATTAAGGTCACTGTTACTTGATGGCACATAACAGCCAGTGTATTCAAGTTCCTTTTAAAGAGTTCCTGCTGGTCAGCCATGTTGTTTTCCAGAACAAGCATCAATAAAGTCAAAACTCATTCCTTTTCCTACTCACCTCTGCATTTCTAGTGGTTGGTTCCTCTTCTCCCCAGTGGAAGTAACATCTGGTGCTTCCTTACTACCTAAGGAAGTAAGTTGTTTTTCAAATATTTGTTCACTTTTCCAAGTCTTGGGAGTTCCCTGAGTAGTTGCTAACCTCCAATTCCATCTAGTGGGCAAGGCACCCACCTCACTCTGAGGGGTGAGCCTTGTTGTGAAACACAGAAGCAGAAAAAGTATTTTCTTTCAACAAAGGGATTGCTTTGCTTGCATTCAAATACACTTGCTTTAATTATATGCACAACATAGTGAATTCAAACACATATTGTAAGAGATTGGATGACAACAGAATCTCATGTTTTTTTTCTCCACACGCTAGCACTCTAGTGTACGATGGCTGGTGGCCACGTTCTATGGGCAAGGGGGCTTCAGTGACAACTTCAAGACTGGAAGTGGAACAGGGTTGTAGCTCAACTGTTGCCATCACACATTTTAAACAGGCACTGTACATTTAATAGGCACTGATAATAGTTGGTATTTTGCCTTTTTTCCTCCAGTTGAAGCCAATTTAGGATGATATTTGAATGCCTATGCAGCTTGTATACCTGCAACACTTGATGTGGATCTAGGCCACTTTTCTATAGTTATTCAGTTTTCCACTAAGACAGAAGGGTAGTTTAGAGTGACATGGAGAACTTTGGAGGGTCAGTGGCCAATTTTTTAATCGCTAGACCCAGCAAGAGCACCACAAAAAGGTACAAAACCAAATATAACTGGAAGATTTCATAGGGGTGGGGAATTCTGCAATCTGAGCAGGATTCCAGTGGCAGAAAAATATATATTTTGCAGAGTGTCCTTTTGTTAGAGATATCATTCAGGGTCCGTAAAAATGGCCGAGGCCTTTGCCCACCCCAATCTACAAACAAAGAGATGGCATGGAAACTATCTCACTATGATCCCTCAGTGTTGAACTGAGATCTCTTGCCCCCCTTTTTTTGTTCACAGAAACAACCTTCAAAATATGGTGAAATGGTCTGTTGGTGAATGGCTGTGGCGAAGAACTTTTATTTCAGACTGTGTTCCATAGATGAGCAAAGATAAAGACAGACTAGAAAATATATTTAATAATTTGTTAAAATAATGGAACAATACAAAACATTTGCAGTACAAGCACGTTACAACAATTATTCATTTGTTCAAAATAATTTAACAAAAATACTGTTTTGGAGGGGGGGAAATCAAAGGAATTGTAACTAACTGGCCAGTCTGCCATGAAACTAGAATTCTGCATATATCTGAATATGACATAGAGTGATATAATCCTAGAATACTGATGTAGAAACTAGCTTTGAGATCAGGGCTGGAAAAATGTACTTTTCTGAACTATGCCTGATCATTCTGGCTGGTGGACTCTGGCACCTACAGTCGTAAAACAGTAACTTCCAGGCATCACAAGAGCATTGTGGTTGACGTTTTCAAAAGCAGCAAAGCCCAATTTTCTGACGAAGGCCTTGTGCAACCACATTATCTTGTATCTTTAGCTTTGCCTGCTAAACCAAAGATTGACAACACCCAGAACGAATCCTTAAAAGCAATGACAAATTCAAATTAATTTGAGCATCAGCTATTATGAAAATTGTAGCTTGCTCTGCTATTCCTTGTTCAATCAGGACAGAATTAATTTTACACATTCTGTCTCAGGTGTACTAATCATATTCATTTAGAAAAGAGCAGGAGCATCTACACAGCGACAATAAAGTACCTCCTTAGGAATGAACAGCTGGATGGATGGTTCAGCAAGTTAGACAGAGGTTGAGAGTTCACTTTGTTCCCAGGACACAGTCCCAGGATGTCCCCAGAAGAAGGGAATGGTAAACCACTTATGATTACTCTCTACCTAGAAAATCCTGGAAAGGGTTAACATAAGTCAGAATTGACTAGCTGGCCCACAATTATTTATTTATTATCAAGGTAGCTGTCTTCTATTCAATGATTATAATGGGACAGCTCTATAGTGCCTGCTATCCTGAAATCCTGGGAGCAAGATGTAAGGGGAAATGCATAATTCTCTCATGGTTTCAGAGTGGAACAAAGTTAGCATCTTCTTTGATGTCGATTATACTATGACATGCTTTGTTTCTTTTATGATAGAAGTGGGAATATCTATTTGTGGGTGCCAGCCTTGGAGTTGATACCATGTGTTTATATTAGCAATAGCTCTGTGACTACCCTTGCTGTGTTATCACCCTAAGAGAGAAAATAATCACCTATCATGTGAAAGGAGGGGGGTAATGTTTCTACTGCATTAAGAAAGAAAGAAAGAAAAAGAAAAAGAAAGAAAAACCTACCTGAGAAGGCCATCTAGTCAGTATGTTCTTTGGAGAAAGCAGAGGAAAAAAGAGTGTGCGTAAGATTGATTCTCCTTGAAATGAATGGATTCTAACTTTCCTGTATGACCAAGCTGTAAACTTTAAATGTGACAGGTTGACCAGAAAGAATCCAGAGCATTAAATAGATAGTACTTGCTGAATAAAACTGCCAGAGAAGAGGAGCCTCTTTCAAGTATCACTTTTCTTGATGCATATAAATTTCTCCATTCAATAATATAATGATGTGTTGGACTGGAACTCATATAAACCCTAGCTAGCAGTGCTAGATGAGAGATAATGGGAGTTGGAGCCCAACAATGCAGGGGTACACATTTTGTTTTTGGAGATGTTCAAAAAGTTGTGGTCTAAACCTCTCTGTCCTTGTTGCCAAAAAGAGTTCTAAATGCAGCATTCCTATTAAACTTTCCAGCTTCACATTGAGAGGCAATGGTTTACCTAAAAGGTTTGCAAATGAATAAGACCGCCAAAATAGATCACTGCTAATGAGTGCTACCTTTTAGAAAAGTGTTCTTAGAAACTGTAAGTGCAAAAATTGCAAAGAGAAAGGGCTCTGGTTTATAAAAGGACTTTTTAACATCTGGGAAGACAATTAAGACATGAGCTTGGTTCTTTCTGGTTTGTTTGTCTCACCTCTCCAGAGCTGAGAAACATATGCACTGGAGTAAAGAGGAAGATTTGCAATAAAGTCCAGATAGTTTTCCTACCTGCACTTACCTAATAAAATAAAAGAACAATGAAAATAAAATAAATTACATCAGAAAATACAGTTTCATTTTGATTGAAGTTTTCTAATCAGTTATAGTGCAAATAGAGATACCTGGTTAAAAGGCTCTGTGCAGAAGCTCTCCCTCTGCAGAAAAAGCAAGCTTGCATTCAAGAACACCATTTTCACAGAACAAAATCAGAAACATTGTGACAAACCTGGCACAGAGGGATCCAGACTTAGCTGTCCATCCTTACCGATCCATGATACCTCTCTTGTAGACAATGCATAACATTTCCATGCTCGGGATACTAAAAGCATTCCTTTAATCTCTACCACTACCATTGTGGTGGCTGTGGATTCATGTACATACAAATGTGCAAGTATATTCAAAAATTCAGTTGGCATAGAATTGACAACCAATGATTTCTCTTGCAGTTCCCCAGAAATCATGCAAACATTCACAGCAAGTCATCTCTATATCCCATTTGTTTCCTTGGGATGAACCAGAGATGGCCCCATAGAAACAGAAATACAACACCATCAGCAGGCGACAAAACTGCAGAACAAAGGAATGCCTCACCAACATGTATCTGCAACCCTCACTTACTATGTAAAGCCCTCCATACTTCATAAATAACAATGGATCTAGACAAGTCCTTGGCAAGTCATGATCCCCAGAAAGCAGTGGATAGGAAGCCCCAGTGCACGTAACAAAAGATGGAGGCTTGTTGATTCTGATAACTGTCGGAAGAAGGCTACAGTTCATCCTTGGTGCCCATGAGAGGCGGCAGTTGGTGATTTGGAATTATGCGATCCTCCACATGTGGATGTGAAGATACGCTATCTTGCAAATGGATACTAATCCCCTCGTCCTCTTTTGGAGTGTCTACAGCACCATAATCCTCAAGTAGTCCAGCTTCTACTGCATGATGCCAAAGTCCCTTGTTTCCCAAAAGCCCTTGCATTCTCATGTATCCCTGTTGACAGAAAGGTGGCAACTTCTGGCGAGTGAGGGCAAAGAGGAAGCAGGACTCTACATGCAAGGGAAGGAGGAAAAATAGCATGTTGAATAATTGCCAGCTTTGAGAATCAAAGAAGTTTGTTGTACTATCACCCTCCAAAATCCCATGGAGTAACCTTACCTAATTTACTTAAAAGAAAAAAACTGTTTGAGGACTGTGTAAACAGCTCATGGGTTTCCAGCTGTGTAAATTCATGTTTATCGTTAAAATAGTTCAAGCTTTCAATGGCAATATTCTGTGCCATCTCCATGTCTGAGGTCTATATTTATTTGTTACATGTATATCTTCAATGAGCTCAAGGTGATGTGCATAGCTCTCCTAACCCATCATTCTCCATCATTCATATACCAGTCCCATGAAGTAGCCGAAACTGAGTGTTATTGGCCTGATTCACCCAGTGATCTTCACACAGCCAAGGAAGGGATTTGAACCCAGGTCACTTAAATCATGGTCCAAAGCTCTACCACTGCACCATGCTCAATCTCCTCCCGTATTACAATTCACATGTATGTGATTCACACTGAGCAGGTGAAATTGGATATTAAAGAATTTAAGGCATAAGTGGGGAACATATGGTCATCTAGGTGTTGTTTTACTATAATTCCTATTAGTTATAGCCAAGAGAGCCAATCATGAAGGATGACAAGAGCAGTAGTTCATCGATGTCTGGAAGGCCTCACATTTCCCCACCCCAGCTTAGGAGAAGAGTCTTAGATCAGTGGCATAAGGCATGCCTTCTAGGGAATAGGCTCAATCCTGGCACCTCTATTTAGGGCTGGGAGAAGAACCTTGTTTGAAATCCTATAGACCTGCAGTTAGTCACTGTTGAACGCTTGACCAGAAGGAGCAAAAAGCTGGATCAATGCAAAGCAGTTTCATATATGCTGAAAACTCAAATGGTGGAAAAGTTACTGTTTGGGCCACTTCATGAGGCAGTAATTATATCAACCAAAAATCATGTAATGTGTGTAGACTTTCCAGCTGGTTCTGAGACAATGTTACACAGTGTGTCAGAAAAGTGAAAATGCACTGGACTACTGGATGAAAAAACACACTGCCTTGGCCCGATCTGCACACACAGCACAGAACTAAAAAGCCCGAGCATTTCAGCTTTTGAAAGAAAGCACAGCTTTCTAGCCCTCCCATGTTATTAAGGGTACAGACAATGGCAAGTGAAATCTCAGAAATTAGAAGCACGACTTTACTTCAGCATGAGGTCCTTTTTCTTCCTCTGTAGTAGAAGAAGCATAAATACAGAAACACAGAGAGAAGCTGAGATTCAAAATAGTTTGCACTTGTGATAGAATTGTGTAGGAGCACAGAGGGGCAGATGCAAATCCTGCCCTCAGTGACCCCTTCACATGAACATACCCTGGCATGCCTGGCTCCTGTCTAGACCTTTGCATGTTTAGCACTAAAATCTAAAATGAGTGCTTGTAGCTGAATGCATGTAAAACATCCCCTGATCAGGAAACCCACCCTTTCAGGTCCTTCTGATAAGGCAAGGAATGTTTTAAGGCCTTTGGAAGAATTGGGCATCTGGAAACATTCGAGCATAGAGCTTACACGCATATCTCTGTCCCAATACATGTTTAGCCTTTGAGTAGACCAAATGTCCACCTAGGCCTTGGATACGTAACTTCTCTGCTGCATACCATGGCAAGTATTCTTTAGTCCAAAATGTAGGTTTCTTTTTCCTTTTTCCCCAAAACAATGGTTAATTTGCCTGCTCGATTGCCTGCCTCTGCTCTCTGAGCAGGTTTCCTGCCAGAATCCAAGTTACCTGCATAGAATCTGCGCAGATCAGTTCCCAGACAATTCTCCAAAAAACGTCTTAGTGGGAGAATGTGGGCATTTGGTGCAGTCCAGTCTGTCAGGAAGTCCTCCACAATGTGATGGATGGCAACCGGGCGGGGCAGGATCCAGTCTGGTGGACAAAGTCTCATCTCACGCTCTGTTGGGAAAGACATGAACAACCCATTTCTCACTGCCAGCAGAAGTAACTTTCAAAACACTGGCCCAAATCCTATTCCCTATGTATGCTGTCATAGCAGAAGAGAGTGTAAGTTTTGTTGGTTAATGGCTCCAGGTTAAAAATCACTGTAGATATTATCAGTTGCATATTGTTTTGTATGATTTCATGTGCAACTGAAAACGTCTGCAGTGTTTTCTTAACCTGAGGTAATTTGCCTCCAAATGTTCCACCATTTGTGAGATATATAAGAGGGTTTTGGCCATTATCGGGGGTCACTGGGCCAATATGCCATGAACAGTGGATGAAACAAAAAAATCCTCTAAAAATAAAAGCAGTTTTATTTGCCATCTTATAGGCCCCCAATTTCACAAAGATCAACGAGCAGTGTTTTTTAATCACTGGACAGATCACCTGAAACAGTATTTTATTTCTATTATTATTTTATGTTTCTTTGCTCCTTGGGGACTTCCCAAAGCCCGAGGTTTCCAATCTTTGAAGGAATGCAAAATATTTCAGTTCACTTGGCTTTTGGCAGCCATGGGGACGAAGAAATATAGGAGAACAATTACCATTTGGTGAGTCTTACTCTTAGCCCTTGAGATGGGGGAAACTGTGTGTGAGTCTCTCTCTCTCTGCCAAGAGTATTTTCAGTATACTGTAGATTATTCTGTTTTTCCACCAACACAAAATATCCCTTAAATCTGTTTATACAGACATCACTTTCCAATGCTTCAAATACAGCAGCAGATTGGAAAAGTTACTCCTTTGTAAATGCAACTCCTACAATACCCCAGGCAACACGGCCAGGTACTCTGCTGGCTGGGAGAGTCTAGGTGTGGCCCCAAAAGTAACTTTTGCAGGTCCTACAATAACAGACGCAGAGAACTGCATCAGGCTCAGTATCTGTAACCACTACTTGGACTCATTTACACCCACCAGGTCCACCCAACTCTACTATTGTATCCCTTCCTTGGTGTTCTGATCCCCAGTTCACTTGCACTTTCCCAGCAAGTAAGTAGTGTCAAGAGCAAGAAAAAGGATGAAAGAAAGGTGCTTTCTACCAAATCAAACCACTCACTCATTCAGCCACTGCTGCCACCTCTGACAGTGTGAGAGAGGATTCCTTCCTCACCCCTATAACTAAGAACAAAAACCAATATGTTTATCACGAGTGATCTCCCACTCAAGTACTATTCAGACTTGACCCTGCTTAGTTTCCAAAATTAGACAACGTCAGTCATGTTCTCAGTGATCCAACCGCCATAGCCACTGCCTGCTCTGCCTTTTTTCCTCTCTCAACAGTAATGCAAATTAAGCCAAGAAGAACAGGGAATAAATAGGAAGCCATTAAAGTGATGGATAGGAGCTGGGTCTACCAATGGAGTGGGGCCCTTGGAAGGCCAGTTGCCCATTTAACCTGTACTTTACCCCAAATGTTGAATTTGAATGAACTCATTATCCATAGAACTAACAAACCCTCAAGAACAGCTTTCCTGAATCTGATGCTTTTCACAGCAAGAGAAAGCTGCTGAAGAATTTGGATTTTAAATATGGCTCTGCTACCATAAGAGCAAAGAGCAGTATCAAACATTTTAAATAAAAAGCAAATGAATAGAAGGTAATATCTTAACATGATAGGAAGAGTTGATCAAATTAGATCACAGTAGTGCAGTAATCAGGGCCTTCCAGATTTTTTTTGGCCTTAAATTGTCGATCAACCTGTCAATGCGGTTGATGGCATGACTGATGGGATTTGTAGTCCAGTAACATCTGTCTTACTGAATCAACTGCTACAATAAACAGAAACAAACGAAGGGGAGAGATTTCTTCTCCCAAAATATGTACAGAAACTATAGATGTGATGAATGTATAACACACAGTCATGGGTAAGGGGAGGAATCAAGAACCACTTCACTTACCGGTGGGAAGATATTTATAATAATAAATGACAGGATGCAAGAAGTTGGACTGCCAAGCGTGCTGTGCTTCTCCTACAGCACGATTATAATAGAAGACATCCTTGTCAGGCCCAGAGAAGTTCTTCCCGTATTCCATCACGATGACAAAAAGTCCATTTTGAACTTTTCTCCCTGTGCGCCATTCCAAGTCTTGCAGAACTGCAACTGGATATTCCTCCAGGTATTCAAATTCTGTGGCATTCCTGGGAATGATCAGAACAAATGCATTCAAACAAACAGAAAAGTAACTTTGTATGATGTATTGGCGAAGGCTTTCACGGCCAGGATCTAATGGTTGTTGTGGGTTTTTCGGGCTCTTTGGCTGTGTTCTGAAGGTTCAGCCAAAGAGCCTGAAAAACCCACAACCACCACTAACTTTGTGTGAAACTGAAGAGTTGACAGTAGAGAGACTTAGTAGACTGGTTGGACAGTTTATCTTAGATGATTGGTATCCATATATTTCCTTTCATATAGTGTATCAATCTGCACACCTCTGAACTATTTATACAATAAACTTTCTGAGACACCAGTGCTATTCTGTCTTTATCGGGATGCAAAGAACATAAGCTTACTGGAGTTCTGACTGGTCCAAAAACCCCAGTCAGTATATTGGGATTGCAACTGCCCTGAAAGGACAGGTTGACCACTCACTCCTGTTTTGCTCTAGGACAGTGATTCCCAATCTTAGGTAACCCAAGTGTTCTTGGACTGCAATTCCCACAAACCCCAACCAACACAGCTAGAGGTGAAGGCTTCTGGGAACTGCAGCCCAAGAACACCAGGGCCAAGGTTAGGAATCACTGCTTTAGGACGTTATACAGACACCAATTTCAAAGGTCTTACATAAAGCAATACTTTTTTTGGACTCTGTCTCAGAGCCCCCTAAACAGTAATTTAGAAAATTGTTTTACTCTAGGATTATTAGGTGACAGCTGACACTTCAGGGTGGTGTTTACCAGGCTAAAGTGGGTGCACTCATTCTCCCCTCTGCTTGAGGACCGAGCGCAGTGTTTCCCAATACCTGAAAGGCACATAACGTGCAGGTGCTCAGGGAATGGCCACCTGATGCAGCCCAGCTGCTATCATATTCAAGAAACAGGGCCTTTTTCACTACTGCCCTAGAGCTTAAGAACCAACTTCCCTGGGGTGAGTGGGTGTCTGCTTGGCTGCATCTCTTTTGATCTTCAGCTTGCCCACAGAGACGTTCCTACTTCACTGTAATTTTATTTGACTGATCCATTGTCTGAGAAGCTGCCACTGCTGTGCTTCATAGCAATTTCAGCCTTGTGCTTTGATTTATCTTTCTTCTTTCTCTGGGAGCTTTTAAAATCAGCGTTTTGACTATATTTTACTGTAAACTATTTTGAAATCTCTTCCAGAGATTAAGCTGCCAATAAATGGTCACACTGAACATACACGTCTCATAGGAACAGTTTTAGTGCCTGTCCTTTTAACAGAGTACAGGAAAGATGCTATTCTGATCAAAGCAGTCACACAATGGTTGTTGTATGAGCCATTAGCTTTTTAAGGTTACCCAAGGACCTAGAACCTCCTACAGGAAGCATAACCTGACTGGCTGAAAAGAGAGACAAATCTCTATTTGCATTAGGGTAATGCAGGTGTCTCAAACATGCAGCCTAGGGGCCATTTGCAGCCCGCCGGATGATAGTTTGTGGCCCCCGCCTTGCCTGCCCCCCCAAAGCACCCACGCGTCCCTCTGCTGCCAAGAGTCAAAAAAAGCCTCACCTCACTCGCCAGCTCTCCGGCAGGATTCAGTTCCGGATGGAGGGTGCAAGAGGTGCTGTCTTGGGGGACAGCCAGCAAGCGAGGCGTGCTGCTGGCCCTTTTCCCCAAGAGCCCGAGCCACCGCCAAGTGACGTCTGAGAGCAGAGCTCGCTCCCGGCCCATCCTCAAAGAGCACCTCCAAGCCGCCAACAGCAGCTGCCGCCGCTGCCTCCTCTTCCAGGGAAGCGGCTCTCTTTTTCTCTCGGCACCTGCAGCACCAGCCTGGCCAGCGGCCACCTCAGCACCCGGCGGTGCTTCCTCCCCCCCCACTAGGCAGTCGCCGGTGCTCCCTCCCTTCTCCGCCTCTTTGTCCTGCTGCTGGTGGTGGTGGTGGTAGTGAAGAATGAGCCGGAGGGGGTTGTGGCTGGCAATGAGGGCTCACGCGCACCCCTCCTCCTCCTCTTCCGCCTCCTCCTTGGAGTCCCAGCCCGGCTAAGGAAACTCCTGGGCGGCTTCCTCGGGCTCTTGCTCTCCTTGGTGAAAAATTTGACGCGGCCCAGCCTCGCCCAGACTCTGCCTCCAGCAGCCCCCAAGTAAACTGAGTTTGAGACCCCTGGGGTAATGCCAACACAAGTCCAAGCTCCAGCCCAGCATTATACTGTGCTTTCTCTGAATAGGATTCAAGACAATGACCACAAGCCATTGAACTTATTTCCCACACCATCAATATATTGTGCAAAGGCTGCCAGCATGCAGTCAACAAGAACTGTCCTGCTGCTGCTTTGCATTTCTAGGGAATACTGTGTTTAAAGGAGACATGAGAGCAGGGGACAATTACTCACTCACTCTTTCAGCAGAATGACATCAGCTAGCACACTGAACATCTGGTAGAGCCCAGATGCCTCATTCACTCGCTTGACAATGGCATTCGTTAGCTGCATGATGGGATAGACGGAGGAAGGCCAAGGCACTCCATGGTGACGGACTTCTAATAAGCGATGAACTACGCGAGCTGAGTAATGTGGGACACAAAGAAAGACACAGGCTCTTAAAAAGCATGGTGATTATGAGTTGAAATCAAACAGCAAAGCAACTGAACAGCAGTTAAATAAAGAGTTTGAGGTAATAGCCAAAATCAGTATGCAGGTACCTGGTGTTGTTTGATGCTGAAAAAAAAAGGATTAAGGAGAAGAGCTTGGAAACATTATTTTTTGGACTACAACTCTCAGAATCAGACAGCCAACTGCTAACTATGGGAATCTGGGAATTACAGTCCAAAAAGTGTTATTTCTGCTGCGCAGCTCTCTGATCTAGGTACAGTCTGAGAATGAGCAAATCTCAGAGATACAGAATTGTAGAGACAAAAATGGAACATTACCTAGATATAAGCTTAACTGTCAGAAAACAGAAAACTAAGAGCATTCTTTATTGCGAGATTCTTTTTAATCTTGTAAGCATTTTGTTAGGGTTTGTTCACAATCTGAAGAAGGACATTTAATTTGAAATCTTAATTTGATTACTTCCACAATCAAGCAACAACTGGATATGAGCTGAACAATTGCAGAGGTGGTGAAGTGAAATGAAATGTGTAATGCATCAATAGTTCTTCATTGACAACTGCTACAAATGATGAAAAGGTATTGATATGTAAAAACAAAATGCAAATATTTTGTGTTGTATTTTCATGAAATGCTGCTGGTGTTGTTCATAGTTAACTGTGTGAGCACACATTGGAAACAACATTCACTACATTATGTAACTGGCTTACAGACATTAGCAAGAGAGAATATAAACAAATGGTAAAGCATAGATTCCAGAGCTGTTTTACTTTCTTTGCATCCCATTTATTACACCCCCAGGTTCACCTGTATAGCGGAATCCATGAATAAAGCCTCCAGCAGATTTCCTGAAGTCAACAGAGTGACTTGCAGTGCCTAGAACAAAAAGACCTCGAGTGGCTTTGGCTTCGTAGCTAGGCTTGATCAAAGGATACTTCTTTTTACTGCCTTTGCCTTGCATCAGACCTACAGACCTTGATGGGGAAGGAAAAGAACAAACAGAGCAAGACAAAGTTGAGAGCTGAAGCTGGCTGGCTACCTAGAATGGATTGGAAATGAAAGGGTTATGGCTCAGCAACAAAGGATGGACTCCACATACAGATGGTCCAGGATTAATTCCCAGCAGCGCTACTTAAAAGGGCTAGGCTCATGGAGAGCCAATGCTAATTACAGCAGAAAAAAAAATACAGTACAGGGCTACATTTTGTATTCGCATATATGGCCAAATGTGCATCCTCCATAGGAAAATCCCAGCGGTACTGTACTTCCATGGGAACAGATCCTTTTGCCTGTCTTCCTTACCCTCTCCTTTCCTACTTCGCTCCTTATTTTACCCATCCACCAGGTGAAGAGGGGTGGATATTTACCAGCAGAAAAATGCCCATAGTGAAACATCATCAAATAAAATGCACCCACAAAGTGCATGAAACAATGCAGTATTAAGGTCCACAGGAGCAGATCCTATGCTGGAGCACCAGAGCAAAGAAGAACAAAAATATATCACCACCCGACAGTAGCGGTGATTTATTCTGTTGACATTAGATTCAGCTCTGTGTTATGTGGACATTGGGAATCTGGACCGCTATAATGTGTGCAAGCAAAGTTGAACAAATACTCTGTGTGGACACGCTCTTTGCCAGACATAGTGGCATTAATGCTGTGTGGCCTTTAAGCTGAGAGTTCTAATCTCCTTTTCCATCTTTCACCCAGTCTCTGTTTACCATTTCGGTACCATATCCTGTCTTACTTGTTGAAGATGGAGAAGTCAAACTTCCAACCGAGGCAGCGAATAGCACGGTCATAAGGGGCTCGGGTAGCAAAGTTGTCCAGCTCATCCTGTGGGAGGGTGATGGACTCTGTGTCGCTGCTATTGCTACTCTCCAGGTAGAAACGGAGGGTGATGTGCAGCTTCCCTTTCTTATCTTTGACAAGAACCAGGTCTTCCAAGTCACCTTCCAGAAGCCCGTCAAGAGACTTCAGCTGGTAGGTATCCAACAAGCCATTGTTTATTGCCCTAAAAAAGGAAAAGTTGGAAACACAAGAAACATACTGTGAAAAACTGAATGGAATGTGGCACGGTATCTGCTAGGTGTGAAGATATCAATGCCAGAGTAGACAATAATGGACTATTAATTTATTATTTGATTAGTTACATTTATATCCCACCATTTCTCCAATTAGCTCAAGGTGGTGTAGATGGATGTACTCCTCCCCTCTGTTTTATCTTTACAATGACTCTGCAAAGGAGGTTGGCCTGAGAGAAAATGATTGGCCCAAAGTCACCCCATGAGTTTTGTGGCTCCCAAGTCCCAGTCTAGCACTCTGACTGCTATACTACAACGCAGCAGGAGGACAAACAGCCTAGCCTCATATGAGGCAACTTCCTATGTTACTATGTCCCATGTTAGATTTGTGGTTATTATTGGGGAGAGAGGTGATCTTAATTTGTTTTATTCCTGCTTTGAATTACTATAGATTCCTTTAGGAAAACAACAAAAATCATTATTATTTTAGATTCTTTTGAGAACAAAATGGTGCACAGAAGGTCAGGAAGAACTTACAATTGCACAGAAGGACTGGGCTAGTTATTGAAGAATAACAGCCAGCTGCATAGGACTGGGCTAGTTATTGAAGAATAACAGGATATATTAAAAAAAACCTGCCACCAGCTTCTGATAGGGGGATCCCATGCTTCCCCTCCACCAGTCACATAACAGGGAATCCAGTAATCCTTCCTCTTTTGCTGACTGCTCAGAACTATTTGTAAACCACCCAGAGTAGACCTTTAGTCTAGATGGGCGGGATAGAAATCCAATCAATCAATCAATCAATCGATCGATCGATCGATCGATCGATCAATCAATCAATCAATCCACATAAACTGCATACGTTATGCTGCCTGTAGGCCAAACCTCATGTTTATTAGCTTTAATTTGACTCGACAAACCACAAATTGTGCAGGCTTGAATAGACAGATAGTTTTTTGTGTTTTTATAAAAGGATCTGCATCAGCCGAAGACATTTTATTCCAGAGATGAAGGGCAGAACGGTATATCACACATAAACTGCATATGTTATGCTGCCTGTAGGCCAAACCTCACGTTTATTAGCTTTAATTTGACTCGACAAATCACAAATTGTGCAGGCATGAATAGACAGATTGTTTTTCGTGTTTTTAAAAAAGGACTTGCATCAACCAAAGACATTTATTCCAGAGATGAAGGGCAGAACGGTACCCCAAATTTTGTCTTCAGAACCTGACTGAACTGGCAGGTTAATATTACAACGCTGGCAAAATGACAAGAGTCTTCCACCACATCTAAAAGGCAAGGGACCCAGAGATGTTGAGTGGCCCATCCCTCCCTTCCAGAGGAGACAGAGGGGCACCTGGAAACCACATGAGAAACAGCCAAGGGGCTGCCACTACTGTCCTCTCCCACCACACTGTTTGCCACATGAGAAAGTCACCACACTCTGCTTAACAACAGGGCTGGACCCCCAAAAACTGTAATAACAAAGAACAACTTAAAATGCTGGCTACACATTTGTCCCCGAATGTTCATACCAGCCCTGGATGTATCTGATAGTCAATTCATTGACTCTGGCCCTTACCTCAGATCTCCAACGTAGTGAGTGGCCCAAGACAGTCGAACCCGAGAGCGGCTCACCATGTGGACAAAATTGGTGACACCCAAAATGTTTTCTGCTGTCTCAAAGGCAGAGTTCCCCCGACCCAAAATCAAGACAGACTGGCCAACAAAATCTTCTGGGTCTATGGACACAGACTCGTAGCCCTCTACGTATTCTGAACCAGGAAAATTCACTTCATGGGGGATCCAAGTTCCCGTGGCTACCAGAAGGACACTGAAACACAGAGAAAGGACTTCAAACAGGCTTGTGAAACACACAGCAACTTGAAAGGTCTTTTTCAGTTTCCAAAATTACTGCATGCTGCACAGAATCATGAAATACTAAGTTGAGGCTTAGCCAGCAGTGGACAATGCAACTGCAAACCAATCCATTAAGAATCTATGAAAAGGTGTCATGAATGGGCAAACCCAAGATATGTATTTAGCTACCAAAGGTTGTGCAGCAAACATCATGAATCGGCAAACCCAAGATATTTAGCTACCAAAGGTTGTGCAGCAAACTGCACAGCTCCCACTTATTTTACTTCATCATTGTTAATTTGGCCCTGAGGTACAAATCTGTACAAGTGTCTCTTCCCCTATCTGGCTATAAATATCCAATAAATAAATTAAATAACTAGAAGGGTGCTGCCTGAGATGGTCAATTCACTCTTGCTAATGATAGCAACAGCCTCGCATACAGACCAGTATTATATGTAGCAATGGTGCATGAGAGTTTAAAATGGTACTCCCTTTCTTGGTGCTAGCATTTCCCATTAAAGATCCACTGTCTGTATGCTCCACAATACATATATTTTTAAAGTTACTTGCATACAGAAAGCAAGCATGATAGGACCATGTCTGGCCTAGGCCCTTTGTTCTGACATTCAAATATTATGGGGATTGGGTATTTTTAAGGAGGAGGGGAAATTTTAAAAACTGGTTCTCTAAATGGTGTAAAAAATTGTGCACTCTATCAGCACTTTGCATCACACAGGCTTCTGCTTTCTCCAGGTCTTGGCTCAAAGTAGTGTGAGGACTCGAACTGGATTTTTTTCTCATTATAGGGAAGCTTACTGTAATGTCTGAGAACAAATGCACTACAGCTATGACCAAGAAAGGCAGTATTTGTGTGGGTGGGAAATCTCCTCCAATACACAACCTATCTGGGTTCTAAGCTCATTATGATCAAGGTACCCTCACCAAACAAGGCAAGGTGATGGCTACGAAAAAGAGAAGCCTTTTCATAGTAGTGTTCTATCTATAGAATACCCTCTTCAAAGAGGCTTTCCTGATGCCTGAGCTTTTCTGCATCAGGTGAAACTAAAATAATAACTGATTGGAAGGGGCCTATAAGACCATCAAGTTCAATGCCCTGCTCAATGCAGGAATACAAATCAAAGCAGATCTGAAATATGGTTGTCCAATTTTCTCTTGAATGCCTCCAGTGCTGATCTACTAGCTTTACCCTTATTTGGTATTTTGCTGTATTTATCACTTAATTCTTGTTCTATGTGTTTTTAAGAGACTCTACACAATCCAGAGAACTAAGGTTAATGGGCAATCTATTAAGTTCAAACAGGCTAGCAGACAATCACTGTTACATAACCAGGAACAAAAGGGATACAGACATTTGAATCAACATCAGGTATCTGAAGGACTATCATGTGGAAGACTGAGCATCCTTGTTTTTTTTTGCTGACTCAGAGGGCAGGAGTGATGGATTCAAATTATTAATGAGAAGATTCCAACTAAGCACTGGAAATAACTTTCAGATGGTGACTTTCTGCTAACTGACTCCCACCTCAGAAGAGGTTTCTCCTTCATTGGCTTTTTAAAAAAGAAGTTGGACAGGAATGCTTTCGATGCAGATTTCCTGCCTTAGCAGAAGGTTCTATTGTGTGACCTTAAGATTGCTTTCAACACCATACTTCTATGATCACGTTTCTAATACACTTGGTGAATTTCTTCACCACTTACCTGCATTTATAGAACTGAGCATTCTGGTCACTCAGGATGAAGAAATGGCCATTCCAAGCTTTGGTGTCCTTCTCCAGCATCACATGGGTGATGGATGTGTTATAGCGTACCTGGAGGTCTAACATGGAAGCAAAATCTATGAGGTAATGCACCATGGTGTCCGCATCAGGGAAGAAGTCATGAGAGTAGTGTCGGAATAGCAGTCGGTTGTCATGGCTGATGAGTGAGTTCCAATCATGCCGAAGGTTGAACTCACTGTTGGATTTGCCTGTGTAGCGCTTGTTGATACTAATTAGCTTGCGATGGCGGGGATACAGAGTAAAGAAACGTCCTGGCGCATGGCCACGTTCAAACACCATGTAGTCTCGGCCTGTGTGTTGGAGGAAATAGGCCATCTGCAGTCCTGAGGGTCCAGCCCCAATAATACAATAGTCACGGTAGAGAAATTCATGAGATGAGGAAGAGGCCACAGACAAGGCGAAGGTTAGGAGAAGTTCTGGCACATACTTGGATGGAAAGAGCAACATATTCAAGGCACTTTTAAGAAACCAACATTTTAAAAATAACAATTCATGGAGAACTCTTAAGTCTGCTTAATTGTATTGGGCAGCGCAGATGTGTCATTCTTGTTGTCGTGTCTTGATTTTCCTCTGATCTTCAATTTGAAGAATGTCTTGATGGGAACTGATTCCTGGAAAAAAACAAGTTGGGGGGAGGGGGAGTAAACAAGTGTTGCTTTTATAAATCACCACCGCTATGCTTGTTGGAGTTTCCTATACAACCTTGCATGCTGTCTGTAGTTTGAGTGACTAGGAGGGACTTTTCTGGTCTAGAGATAGTCTATCTATCCAGCACCAACCGATTGTTCCATCCAGTTTTGAAATTCAAAGAGCCAGACCTCTCTGCTGTAGAGTTCTATCCCTCTCTTGTTGGTTAGCGCCATCCAGTTTTGAAATTCAAAGGGCCCCATCTCTCTGCAGAGAGTTCTATCCCTCTCTTGTTGGTTAGCGGAAGTTGTCTGTTGCTTTTGATTTGTTTGGTTGGTTGCTAGTATGTGTGCAGTAAAGTCAGCAGTATGCACAAGTATAATTTCAAGCAACTGTAAGTAAAGAAATTTCTTTTTCATACAAATGCTTATATTACTAAGACTTTAAGTGCCAGTTCATGAGAAAAGTGTGGACTGTGGTGAACTCATAGTTATTCTCCTCTGTGGATCTCTATACTTCTACTGTGTAGCAAAGAGAGATTTTTTTTACCAGAAATTCAAAACTCTGCAGCAATGCTCCCATTGAAAAGTACTCTTACATAATGGCTCATCACATATGACAAACCGTGTTCCTTCTGCACCTGTTTTGCTTGTGGCTCCCCAAATATCTTGCTTATGTTGCCACTATTTAAACTCTTACTAGCATATAACTCTTGTACAAATATATCAGAGTAGGAGGGGATGACAACCATGGCCAAAGTCTCTGTTGGCTGAATGGCTGTTTTGATGGTCAGAGGCACCTCAAAAAGGGAGGTGTTTAGCACTCTTGTGTCCAAATGCAGGTTCACTGAAAGCCAGAGGGGCAATCTCCAGTTTATTTATTTCTGCCCTGGAAAACTGGGAGGATTCCGGTACCCAGAAAGCAAAAAAAGCAACCCCTTCCTCATCATTGTCTCTTCAGTGGGAAATAGATCCATCCCTGGCACTATTTCTGGAGCCTGTTTATCTTCCTCATTAAGAGAACAAAAGGGCTCTCTCAGCAGCGGGCTTTGGACAAGACCGGGTCGGGAATTTTTGCCCTACTTAAGGAGGACCACCCGCCCGCTCGTCCGCCCACCGACCCAGCCCCGGGCTTGCAGAGGTATGGCAACCGGCAAGCCTCTTCTCCGCTAACCCGCCCCTAGCCAAAGAGCCACGACACCGAGGGTATCCCTCTTCCTTGGCACAGTGGGGAAAAGGGGCGAGACCAGCCCCGGCAGGCTTGCGTGACGTGCTGACGTACCTGGGGCATTCGGCGGTAGCTCAGCAGCCAGGTAGGGCTCGGTCCCGTGAGGCAGCAGCAGGAGCGGCGCACGCCACACGATCACCATAGAGGCGAGGAACTCCAGGTCCTCCCAAAACAGAGAGGCCTTACACAAGGAATGCAGCGAATCCCGCCATCCAATCAAAACCGCCCACTCCGGCCCCCTCAGGCAATTAAGGAGATCACGTGGCGTCGACGCATGCATTGTCCCGCACGACCACCCACTGCCTGGGTCACGTGACACGGAACTGAATGGAAGGCAGCTGTTGCTTTTTTTCCCTGAGGGAGGCGGGAGCTGCAATACCAGCCTCTCATAGGATACAACGAAGGGAGAGGGAGTCTTCTCATGAGATGGCCAAAGTGTTGGAGCCTCGGCTTCAGGATCTGTCCTTCCAGTGAGCACTCAGGGTTGATTTCCTTTATAATGGATAGGTTTGCTCTCCGTGTAGTGCAGGAGACTCTCAAGAATGTCCTCCAGCACCACAATTCAAAAGCATCAGGTGCTGGTCCCGTCCAGCTCCCTGATTTTGCTGCTTTTGGGACTGCCTCTTTGCCTCGGCCTATCCTAATATCTCCATACAGGAGATCTTTAGGAATCCAATATCAAAGGGATCTGATATTGAGCCATCAAAAACTACAGTGCCCTTCATTCCCTCATGAAAGGATCTGATGATGTTAAGGAGTCGAGGTGGACATCCAATCTTGGGAAGTATTTTAAAAAGCCCATCCCTGCTAACCAAATCAAAGGCCTTTGTGAGATCTATGGCCACGAGTGTTGTCGTTCCCTACATTTCTCCTGCAACTGTCTGAGGGAGAATATCATGTCAGTGGTAGATCTATTAGCTCAAACTCCACACTGTGATTCTGGATAGACTCAGTCTGCAAGCACCTGGAGTCTCTTCAGCACAACATGGGCAAGCAAATCACATTATTGTAACCTAGCCAAGGCAGCATCAGGACATTGCTGTTCAAACAGTTCCCGACACAGGAACTTCTCAATCTTATTTCTCAAGTTCATGATTTACACCTTATAATAGTAAACCTCTTCTTTCCTATTTTCCACATGACATGGTTTGAGTTTAAGCTCCAGTCTCTCAGAAACTGTCAATCTTTCAATAAACCCTATATTATAAAATCCAAATTCTTGTGTCGGGTTGTGGCAAATTCTCTCTCTCCAGGTAGCCAAAGGAGTTGCTTCCTGCCAGAGTAAAATCCAAACTGTATTTTTATAAAAGTCATTCGTAAGTAAACAGTAGTGGAATACTGCTCTTGAGTCTCAGTGTGTCATTCTATGACCACTGACTTACAGATGGCTTCACCATGTCATTGTATTTCTTAAAAGCGTATTTCTGTACATGGATAGTACAATCCTAGGCATATTTACTTAGAAGCTGTTTAAAGAGGTTTTCCTCAAAGCATCTAAAAGTCCAAAGAAGAACAAAGCTGTTTTTTCTTGCAGCTAAAGCAGCAAGAAGTGACACACAAAGCAATGGTACATTGTCTCCCTGCTGTGCATTGCTAAAAAGGCAGTGATGAGGTTGACCTGTTATTCAAGTGGCAGGTGAAAATAGCAGCTTACTATTTTTACAAAGGACTTCAGGGATTTCAAATAATAAGGAACCATAATCTGCTTCAGTAGACAGCTAACCTCGGATACAAGTAACTGCCTGTTCTATGGAACATCAGTTTTTACACGTTTTCTCTGCAGTTGTGCATAGACAAATGCACATGGGAATGTTTGGAACATGATTAGAGAACTCTGCAGTCTAGAATATGATTAGAGAACCTTCATCTAGCCCAGTCTCTTTGCCAAAGCCATTAATATCTTACAGAGGGTAGAGCGATTACCCAGTTCATTTATATGAGAGGGAGACAAGTTTTTAGAAGGCTTCATTCCAATACTTTTTGCTACAGAAAACTGCAAATAGCATGAATGAAATTACTACTTGTAATAGTTTATTTTTTAAATAGTTTCTTGCAAGGGTAGAGTCACAGCATTTTTTAAAATAGAAGAATAGGGAGGGAAAGAATATGGTTTCTCAAGTGGGTAGGGCAGGAAGTAGACACTAGTAGAGAGAACTACTTGATTAAATTAGGTTGGCATTTTTATGAACGATAGAAAACGGACCTTCACTACCTTTCAGTGGGTAATCATTTATAAGATCTCAGAACAAGTGGCTTTAAAAATATCTTTTTATAATATTCTCTCAGTAGAAAAGTGTCCCCTCCCATTGCCCTGCATACAGAAAACAAGTTCAGCAGACAGAATTATTCTAGCTTGTGATCCCTCACCTTTCATATCATGTATCACAGTCCAGGAAAAGGTGGTACTCAAATATTCTGCTGCACATCATTCCTTAAATGATCAGGGTTGATAAAGTAATCATAATAGTGGTCTATTCCCAAGACTAATATATTAATAAACACAAAAGGAAAAACTTGTTGAACTTTTATTTTATTCCCAGGGGTGAAGCAAACAAGGTACAGACTCAGCTTCAACCCAGCCTCAGAGAATGCAGACGCTGAATGTGCCCTCAGGCTCTTATCACCACTGCTGGATGGCCACAATGTTCAGTTCTCTTCCTCTGCAATGCAAAGAAAAGTTGAAATAATGAATTTCTTTTTATCTCAAAGCCAGCAAGAACTTAACATAACCACAAATTTTGCTAAATGCTGGTGTCTGTACAATTTTTACAAATTTCCACATAACAAAACCACACCACCCTGCTTTAACTGGTTGCAGGTAGTCATTTTGCATCTAAATATTAATTTCAACAGTGCAGTTCTCAAATACGAAACAACAGTTGAAAAGAAAAGCCTTGAGAAACTGACAAATAGTAATGAGGTGTATATGCAGTACAGAAAAATGAAATCTACTACATATAAAGATGCATTGTGTAGTATAATCTTCCCATCACAGCGCTTACAAAACTAGATCAGTGTTAACCATATCCCATCCATACTGATGTATCAGCCCACTAGCAGGACATGAATTCAATTTTTTTTGCTGTGGCTAATTAAAACATGAGTGGTAAAGATGTAGCACCTCCTATATCTATCTTGGGACACGAATATGAACCGTAGGCCAATTCCCTTCCTGAAAGTGGTTGGCTGAGTGGGGAACAGCCGGCCAGGCTCCTGCTGGGATTGGTGTGCCGCTGCTGAAAGAGGATTGCAGCACTGTGCAGAGCCTGGCAAGTGGGCTGGGTGGTTCTGGGGAAGGGAACTGGATCCTAACAGTACCTGTGGTGCCGTGATTCATATTCATATCCCCAAAATATGAATATGAAATGCCCACCTCTAATCCAGGGCCCTAGCACAGTTTAAGTACCTACTAAATAAAAAAAAAAATCAGAATGTTTTGCATTAGTTCAACTCGCAGGCACAGGAAACACTCCTACCTTCCTCTTCTTCCTCCTCCTCATCGTCATCATCGTCTTCATCAGAGCTGAAGGTGCCATCAGGAAGACTATAGACACGGATGACCTGCTTGTTGGGGTCTTTCAAGATGAGGTACTTGCCCTCATCCAGTTTCATGCAGATGTCAATCACACAGCGGAGGATGCCCCAAGCGTTCTCCATACTTAAATTAATTTGGCTGGCAAATTCATTGGGTTTGAACTGCTGTGTGCCTAGGATTACATGGCGTGAAGAGTCTTTCACATGGTACCGGGATACATACCTGGCAAGGATAAAAAACAAGTCAGGAATGAAGTGATGTAACACAGCTACATGTAGATTCAATGTGGCCTCAGTCTTATAGGATTCTTTTAATAACTGATGTCATCATTATGGATATTGGTTTATTTATAAAATATTCAGTGTGTGTGTATATTTTCTAATGGCTTTCAGATCAGGAATAAATTGCTTGACTTACTAACATTGGAGAGTTCTAATGGTTTCAGGTCTGTAAAACAGTTCAGATAGTTTCCATCATTTCAATATTATATAGTTTCAGGGTAATAATATAGTTCTCAGACGTATTTCAAATCATTACAGTAATTACCGTATTTTTCTCACCATAAGACACACTTTTTCCCCACAAAACAGGGGGGTGGAAAGTCTGTGCGTCTTATGGAGCGAAGAAAACAGATTATATTTTCCTGTTTTCTTCTCCTAAAAAATTGTTGCGTCTTATGGAAAGGTGCGTCTTATGGAGCGAAAAATACGGTATTTGCTCAGAACAAAATGGGAAAAAGTATAATGCTCAACAATATTTCCAATCTGTATCGTTCTCATAAAAACAGTCACGCACAGCAGTAGTGATAAGGAATGAGTGACGAAAGATAGGTATTAGGACTGTGCCAAGTATATGAACTCCATCCCAATGTCTGACAGTTCATTCACTCTCAGCAATAAAATAAACTTAACTTTTAAAATTTAGCCAGTTTCCATACATTTTGCAGCAATTTCAAATCTAGGCTCAAGCAGTTTCCATTTTTGCATATGCAAACATAACTGAAAATAAACATCTCTTTTGAAAAATAAATGTAAAAAACATATTATATCTTATCTCACCCCAGCTTAAGATATTCTGATCCAGCCAGCAGCGCACAACATGTCCAGCGGGCAAGTTTATAGCTATTGTTTTTCAGTTCAGTGGCAATCACAGCTCCTCTCTGAGAGTCCAATTTCTGACGCCAATCTACACCATTACAATGCTAGAAAAGTAAGTATGTGTGTCAGAATTTTACATGTTATGGCAACTATGGGATATCAATAAAAAGCTGAACAGTTCATGCTACTACATTTATTTCACAGTGCCCGGAAAAGAGATTCTGAGGTTTGTCCCTAATGTGACCACAGTTCAATTAGTGATGATGCAGAGATCTTTATTAGATAGGACAAAAAGAAACCAATGCTTTTAACTTTATCCTCTTGCATTAAATGGAACAGTTGAAAGGACAAAGTGCAAATAAATGAGGAGCATGCAAAAGATCCCACGTAATGTTCTCCTGATCAATTAGTGATATAGCATGTTATGTGGGCTGGTTCTGTCCTTTGTTTAGTAGGTTCACAGATTTAAGCCTAATTATACAGCTGACCTTACCCTTGAGTCCCATTCATTCAGTGTTTTAATGTTGATGAATGATACTTCTCCATTGGCTCCAGTCATCACTCCATCATGTTCACAACGTACTATCAGATCTATATCATCTCCCAGCTTCCACCTTCGGTATCTACAACCAAGAACACCAGTATGTAACCTTACCCTTGCCAAATTGTTACATATCATGACAGCAGTATTTGTGGGCAGTAATAATGAATTTTCCATGGAAGTTATAACATGTTTGGAAGTTAAACTTTTAAGACAATGCTGATTGTCACAACATGTCCATGTGCAAGAAGCAACAGCCTACCTGTATGCAACAGAAGCCACTTCATTTTTATCCATATCATCTTCCACAAATGGGTTTGGATTGGGAAATGTGTATTTTTCTTTCCCCTGAAAAGAAATGATGCAACAACTTTACCAGGTCCATTAGGCAATGTGTTGAAGATAGCTGTGGCTGCCTTATATGAGAAGCCTTAGAGCGTTTAACTTCGAAATGGAAAATTCTCCCCATGATTTCTTCACTGAGTCCTTCCCTGTGCCTTTTTTCAACATGGCTCTGAAGTGCCATCACAAGGACAACAGATTTTCCCTACCATTACATCAGAAGTCCTTCTTGGAACTGCCTAATATGTGTATTAATCCTTATGAGATCCATCAGGAGCCTTATAAAGGCAGATTAATTTTGATACATGTAATCCTCTTTTCATCTCATAAGCATAACATTCTAAATTACCACAGTCATTTCCAAAATTCTCTGCACAATTAAGTTCATTGACTCGTTCACTCGTACCATTCTCAGACACTGCTGGGAGAAGTTATGGTTGATGTAGGTGGCTTCCATGGCAAGGTTGCGGGGTGAATTGAAGGAGTTACCCTCATCCTGTGGTGGTTCATTAGCAGTCTCACTCACTGTCAGGAGATCTGAAGACACAGCCAAAAGCAAAATGCAAGTTTTACACTGGACACCAAGACTATTAAGGTCCAGGGCAGTATGTCCTGAACACAGAAGCAGCATGACTGTATAGAGATTACATTTTTCACTCAAGCAGGACTGAAAAAACAGAACTGAAAAATTCCTAGCTACGACTTACTATCCAGTCTGTAATGTAAATCAGACTCACCAAAGTCGGAGTTGTCCCTTTTGTCAAAAAAGAGCTTAGATCCAACTCTCTGGACGATGATGTCCCAGGAATACACTGATCGTGTGCATGCCATGAGGGTAGCTAGAATGGCATCTGTAGCAAACACATTCCCTTGAGTTTTGGCCAGCTAAGGGCAGAGAAGAGTCAGAAGAATGAGAGCAGGTTAAAAAGCAAAAACAAATCGATCAATATACTATATGGTTCTACAAGTTATATCTACTTACATTTACTATCGATAATAGCTGAAACTATAGCTGCTCTCCAAAATATATAACTGAAACCACAGCAGAACTACTCCCTCCTAGAGTGCACACCATTCCCCAGCATTGAAACCCAAGGTAACGAAGCCAAAAAAGTATTCCTACATGCCCATCTAACATATTGGTATCTAACATTCTCCACTCAATGCTTCAAACCCATTGTTTTTCATCTTTCTGTCCTCTCAAAATTGTATTTGAGACTTAAAATTGTACTAACTGGTCATGGGAAAATATGTAAAGCATTCTTTCAACCATTTAGTCCAGTAAGGTAAAGGTTCCCCTTGACATTTAGTCCAGTTGTGTCTAACTCTAGGGCATGGTCCTCATCCCCGTTTCCAAGCCGTAGAGCCAGCGTTTGTCCGTAGACAGTTTCCATGGTCACGTGGCCAGCACGACTAGACACAGAATGCCGTTACCTTCCCACCGAGGTTGTACCTATTTATCTACTCGCATTTTTACATGCTTTAAAACTGCTAGGTTGGCAGGAGCTGGGAGAAGCGACAGGAGCTCACTCCGTTGTGCGGATTCGATCTTATGATTGCTGGTCTTTGACCTTGCAGCACAGAGGCTTCTGCGGTTTAACCCGCAGCGCCACCACATCCCTTATTTAGTCCAATAAGTTTTATAAATCCCATCAAATAGAACAGTTTCACCAGCATTATAAAAGATTCTTTGGCTTTTGCTGAGCATCTAGAAGACTGTGGGAAAAACCTTTCTCCTTTTCTCCTTAATCCATATATTCCATTATACAGTGGTGCCTCGCAAGACGATTTTAATTCGTTCCGCGAAAATAGTTGTCTTGTGAAAAAATCATCTTGCGAGGTTCCCTATGCATCGGTCTCAAAAAAAAGTCTTGTGAAGCATCAGTCTCAAAAACAAAAACAAAAAAAAACTGTCATAGAAAAAAACGTCATACAAGGCACCATAGTGATCGAAAAAACAATAGTCTTGTGGGGTTTTCGTCCTGTGAGGCACCACTGTACTTAATATATTCCTGTCTTTAAATCTTTATGCTGCTAACAACAGGACAGCGTAACAAGGTCTTGTTCAAGGAAACAGCTGACCACTTGCTAGTCACCAGAGCAGACTAGTCACCTGCTAGTCACTTTTTCATGAAAAGCAAGGTTGAGAAACAAGATGTCTCTCCTTGGTCTAGTAGAACAGAACAGATAAGGGGCACGGGAAGCAAAATTTTAAACTAAGGTGTTTGACATTTACAAGACATGATAACAACAGAATGGCAACTTTAAGCACTTCTCCATTAACTAACTTGTTTCTCTTTATACAATGTATCAACAAGTTATGGGAAGAAGCCTCCAGTAACCTAAATGTTTCTATTGTTGTTGTTATTTAGTAGTTAAGTCATGTCTGACTCTTCGTGACCCCATGGACCAGAGCACGCCAGGCCCTCCTGTCTTCCGCTGCCTCCCGGAATTGGGTCAAATTCATGTTGGTAGCTTCAGTGACACTGTCCAACCATCTGGTCCTCTTCTTCTCTTGCACTCACACTTTCCCAACATCGGGGTCTTTCCCAGGGAGCCTTCTCTTCTCATGAGAAGGCCAAAGTATTGGAGCCTCAGCTTTAGGATCTGTCCTTCCAGTGAGCACTCAGGGCTGACTTTCTTTAGAATAGATAGGTTTGTTCTCCTTGCAGTCCAGGGGACTCACAAGAGTCTCCTCCAGCACCACAATTCAAATGCACCAATTCTTCAGTGGTTAGCCTTCTTTATGGTCCACCTCTCACTTTCATACATCGCTACTGGAAAAACCATAGCTTTGACTATGTGGACCTTTGTTGGCAAGATGATGTCTCTGCTTTTTAAGATGCTGTCTAGGTTTGTCATTGCTTTCCTTCCAAGAAGTAGGAGTCGTTTAATTTCATGGCTGCTATCACCATCTCCAGTGATCATGGAGACCAAGAAAGTAAAATCTGTCACTGCCTCCGTATCTTCCCCTTCTATTTGCCAGGAGATGATGGAACCAGTGACCATGACCTTAGTTTTTTTTGATGTTGAGCTTCAGACCATTTTTTGGCTCTCCTCTTTCACCCTCATTATGAGGTTCTTTAATTTCTCCTCCCTTTCTGCCATCAGAGTGGTACCATCTGCATATCTGAGGTTGTTGATATTTCTTCTGGCCATCTTAATTCCGGTTTGGGATTCATCCAGTCCTGCCTTTCGCATGATGTATTCGGCATGTAAGTACTCCTTTCCCAATTTTGAACCAATCAGTTGTTCCATATCCAGTTCTAACTGTTGCTTCCTGTCCCACATATAGATTTCTCAGGAGATAGATAAGGTGGGAGTGAGGAACTCCCATTTCTTTAAGGACTTGCCATAGTTTGCTGTGGTCGACACAGTCAAAGGCGTTTGCATAGTCAATGAAGCAGAAGTAATGTTTTTCTGGAACTCTCTGGCTTTCTCACATGTTAGCAATTTCTTCTCTAGTTCCTCTGTCCCTTTGAAATCCAGCTTGTACTTCTGGGAGTTCTAGGTACTCATACTCCTGAAGCCTACCTTGGAGGATTTTGAGCTACCTTGCAGGATTTTGAACCTTGCTAGTGTGTGAAATGAGTGCAATTGTACAGTTGTTGTAGCATTCTTTGGCACCGCCCTTCGTTGGGATTGGGATG